TAGTCTAAAAGAGAGTTCTTATTAGTTGAAGACAAGTGTTCTTTTTTGTGGAGCTTTAGACTCAATTCTTGTCCAGAGTTGTTGAGTTATACTTTGTGAAGGTTGTTGTATCCTGGAGGGGACAAGCCAAATAGGACTTCTGCTGGACCGGTGAAAACATTTGCTGCAGTGGGCTTGAATCTCCTTAAAGAGAGCGAGTTATCCGCGCCTCAACATGAAGAGATTAATTTCTTCATTTTATTTTCAATTGTAATCTTGCAATTTTATTATCTTGTAAGTTTTTCACTAACAATTTTAAGGAGATTCAAAGATGGCTACAATTGAAAAAACCGCGGATGTCAAGATGGGAGATCTTAACAAGCCATTTCGGTTCAATGGTAACCATTTCAAGAGATGAAAGAGTAAAGTACTTTTCTACTTAAGTCTTCTCAAAGTTTCTTATGTATTAACCGAGAAGAATCCAAATAAAGAAGACATCACCACTATGAATGATGATAAAACTATTTCTCATCTAGAGAAAGTGAAAAAGTACGATGGTGATTCCTATAAGTGTATGTATTATCGTTTTAATTGTCTATCTGATAATTTTTTATGATTATTATGATAGAACTTACTCTAGTGCAAAGAAAATTTGGAAGACATTGCAGAGTAAGTATGATACCGAAGAGGCTGGAGCGAAAAAATATGCAGCTAGTAGATTTTTTCGTTTTCAAATGGTGGACAACAAATCAGTGGTAGATCAAGCTCAAGACTCCATCATGATTGTTGGAGAACTTAGGTCCGAAGAGATTAAAATTGGAGATAACCTTATTGTTTGTGGCATAGTGGATAAACTTCCACATTCTTGAAAGGAATTTCAATAAAATATGCGTCACAAATAAAATAAAACCTCTCTTGAAACATTAATAATGAAAATCCGCATGGAAGAAGAAGTAAGGGGACAAGATGCACTTTTACAAATAGAAGAGAACAACATCACATCGAAGGTAAATTTAATTACTTCGAATAATGCTACTCCTGAAACTCACAAAAATACTTTTTTAAAGCCTAAGAAGAGAAAAATTCAAGAAAAATAATGGTGGACCTCCCAAGAAAAATAATAGTAAAAATCACCAAGCACAAAATCAACAAGTTCAAGAAAAGGGACCATGCTTTGTTTGTGGCAAGAGTGGGCATATTGCTCGATTTTGCAGATTCTAAAAACGTGGTTCTAACCCTCAGACAAACGTTACTGAAGAATCTTTTATGGCGGTGATTTCCGACATAAACATGGTTGAGAATGTTGATGAATGGTGGGCTGATTCTGGTGCAAACCGTCATGTCTGTTATGACAAAGACTGGTTTAAAAAAATATACTTATTTTGAGGAGTCCAAAACCATCATACTTGGTGATGCTCACACTACTCAAGTCCTTGGAAAGGGAAATGTTGAATTGTGTTTTACTTCTGAAAGGATATTAACATTGAAAGATGTACTTTATACTCCTTCTATAAGAAAAATTTTGATGTCTAGTTTTCTTCTTAATAAAGCAGGCTTTAAACAGATTATTGAATCTGATCAATATGTAATAGTGAAGAAAGGTTATTTTTTGTGGGGAAGGGGTATGCATGTGATGGGATGTTTAAGTTGAATGTTGAAATTAATAAAACTTCTACTTCTGTTTATATGCTTTCTTCTACTAATTTTTGGCATGCTCGTTTGTGTCATATTAATGATCGTTATGTTGGAATTATGAGTAGTTTAGGATTACTCCCAGTGGTTAAAATTTTTTTTGAAAAGTGTGAGGCTTGTAGAAAAGCCAAGATCACTAAAAGGCCTCATTTTCAAGTTGAAAGAAAAACTGATTTGTTAGAATTAGTTCATACTGATATTTGTGAACTTGGTGGAATTCTAACTCGTGGAGGTAATAGATATTTTATCACTTTCATTGATGATTTTTCTAAGTTTACATATGTTTACTTGATGAAAAATAAAAGTGATGCTTTTAAAAATTTCAAAACTTATCTCAATGAGGTTGAAAATAAGTTTGGAAGAAAAATAAAAAAGAATTAGAAGTGATAGAGGCCGTGAATATGAATCAAATGAGTTTAATTCTTTTGTTAGATCATTGAGAATGCTTCAGGAAACTCCTCCTCCTTACTCTCCTTCGTCTAATGGAGTAGCATAAAGGAATGTAAAACTTTGGTTGAATTTACTAATGTCATGCTTATTGAGTCACATGCACCTATAAATTTTTGGGGTGAAGCTATCTTAACTGCTTGTTATGTGTTGAGTCGTGTGCCTCATAAAAAGTCTAAATTGACACCTTTTAAATTGTGCAAAGGTTACAAGTCAAGTTTATGATATCTAAGAGTTTGGGGTTGTCTAGCCTTTATGAGGCTAATGGATCCCAAGATTAATATTGTAATAGAATCTGGTGATGTTATTTTTCATGAAAATAAATTTCCTTTTGATACTAAAAATAGTCAAAGGATTGAAGAAAATATTTTTTCACTACCTAATTCTTCTACTTCAACTTTGAAAAATAAAGAAGTTGATGATTTTGAGTTAAGAAAAAGTAAAAGAGCTAGAGTAGAAAAAGATTTTGGTCCTGATTTTTATGTGTTTAATATTGAAAATGACCCTCTAACTTTTAATGAAGCATTATCTTCACATGATTCTATTTTTTGGAAAGAGACTATAAATGATGAAATGGAATCTCTAATTTCTAATAAAACTTGGAAGTTAGTTGATTTACCACCGGATTGTAAAACAATTGGTTGCAAATGGGTCTTAAGAAGAAAGTTGAAACCGGATGGTTCTATTGGTAAATTCAAGGCTAGGCTAGTTGCAAAAGGTTTTAAACAACTAGAAGGCCTAGAATTTTTTAATACTTTTTCTCCGGTAACAAAAATTACATCAATTAGACTTTTAGTTGCTATGGCTGCAATTTTTTATTTGCAAATTCATCAAATGAATGTAAAAACTGTTTTTCTAAATGGAGACCTAAATGAAGAAATTTATAGAGCTTTTCTTTTAGTCTGTTTAAGAAAACAACATATTTATATATTTAGTAATAATTTTTAATTTCAAAATATTTATTTATAGTTACACAACTCACGAATATCATAACTTAATTGAAACCACAAATTTAAAAAAAAACCTTAAATTTTGTATATGATCAAACTATATCACATGATCGAGACAAAAGAAAAATATAAACTATAATAATTAATAATTTAAATTATTTTTAAAAAAAAATATTAAGAAACCTTTGTTGGATTTAAAAATTTTGTGTCACATTAATTGAAATCGAGAGTGTGGGGTCCAGTGGGTGAAATGGCCACGGATTAAGTATCAGGTGACTTCGTTGCCCACGACTTGAATCTTTTAACGTTAATTAGAATCCAAGTGAGTAGTGATTTATAGTAGTGAAATCATCAAAAGGATGGGATACAATTAACTGTGAATGTTGATAGAAGGTGAATTCAAATTTATCGAGTTTTAATATGAATATTGAACTAAAAAAGTAAATAATAATAAAAATGTTTTTCTGTAATTTTCTTGTTCTTGGGAGTTTAAATTAAATAATTAAAGGTAACGCACAACTTATGTTCTTACCACTATTTTATTTTATTTCTAAATAAAAGGGGCCCTAATTTTTGATCCTCCACATATTTTATAGAGTATTTACTCGCGATGTATTGTATTTGGGTCACATTATGGTCCTACAAGTGGACCTGTTTTTGGATATATCATTTTTAATTTATTTGTTTTTAAATTAAATTTCTTGAGTTGGATTTGTGGATATTAAAATATAAAAAAATTGATATTTATACAAATTTAAAATTTACAAGTTCATGAATTTGATTCTAGAATATATATCTACTATACTATATATAGAATAGTCGAACTAATTAGAAATTTAAAATTTATGAGTTTGATTCTAAAAATAACGGTATACCTGAATTTGGGAAAATTTATGAATATTGAGCATTCTTTCGAAAGCTGCAAAAGATATCAAAGACATATATTTTCCCAAAAAGGACTAAAAGAATTAAAAAAACAAAAAACTTTATTTTTCTTATATTTTCCTAATAATTCCTTTGACAATGCAAAAGAGAGACCCTTAATTAACTCAATTATTTTTAAAATTCTTAAAGCTACAAGTTATATACAAGTTTCATTCAATTATGGATTTACTACAATATCTTTTTTTTCTCAATCACTTGAATCACCTAAAATAAATAGAAAAGAATAATCAACAATAACATATCCGTGAAATATCATAAAGTAGGGTCTAGAAAAAGTAAATTGTATGCAAATCTTATTACTATCTCGGAGAAAAAAATAAAAAATAATAATAATAAATATATATATATATATATATATATATAATTTCTAAATATAAAAATATTTAATATCTGTTAAAATATCCTTGCTGTTTGTCTTATTGTAATGTAATGGCATGCTTACACTTAATAATTCTTAGGCACCCTACATAATTTTTATGGAAAAATTACTTTTAATAAATAATTATAATATTTTGTTAAAATATCCTTGCTGTTTGTCTTATTGTAATGTAATGGCATGCTTGCACTTGATAATTCTTAGGCACCCTACATAATTTTTATGGGAAAATTACTTTTGATAAATAGTTATAATATTTGGTGATATTTTTTTTGTTTATTATTATTTATAGCAATATATAATAATACTATGACAAATTTACACTGTGAATAAGAGATCTTCTTTTTTAAACGTAGATATTCTGAAAAGACCATTTTTATTTTCTGTTCAATATATAAGTGTCCAAGAAACCTCATTTTCTGTTAGATTACTTTGTCAGATTCCTTAGTCCTTTATGAAATAAAATATACAACATTTTTACTTTTAGGAAGCCAAACAATATCAATTTATTCACTTAAGCTTTGTAGAATTTTGGTAAATATATACTTAACTAGGAATTGTTCACATTTCAACACGTTAAAACATTCAAAATGCTTCTTCACCAATTTTATTTTCATGCAAAAGACCATTATTCATCATTCATATATATTAGGCCTAATTGTTGTAGTTCTTTCACAATCCATAACTTTCTATGATACACTAAGAAGTGTTATTTTTAATGTCAAATGATGTTTAATTACTATACAAAGTTTAAACTTTTCTTTTTTTTCTATTTTGCTTTGATCATTTCCCTTATAATCCTCTATGATTCTCTCATAGCTAACATTTCATCCAAATCAATTGTCTTTCAAATCAATGTCAATTCCTTGCAACCATTGAAACCACCTTTAGCTAATCGACCGTTGTTTTCGACTAAGGAAGAGCCTAGTAATGAAGTTTATTTGAAGGAAGAAGAAGATCATGCACATTTGGTACCTCCTTATAATCTATCACAAGAAGAAAGAATTTCTTGGTTTAAGAAAAACTTGGCATATTTTGAGATATTAAAGTCAACAAATATCTCAAGAAAATTCAATGATAGAGTGAATGAATATTTTACAAGTCATTATTGTAGTGTTCAATTCTTTATGACATGGATTTCCCCTACAAAATCTTTTGGTAAAAGAGAATTTTTTACTCTAGAGAGTTTATTTAAAGCACATCCTAAAGGGTGTTTGATAATTTTGTCACATACTTTAGACTCACCAAGTGGAACTATGATATTTAAACCTATAGTTGAGTTGGGCTATAATATTCTTGTTGTCACTCCTGATTTGTATTTTTTGTTTGAAAATACACCATCTAAGTCATGGTTTATTGATCTCAAGAATGGGAAAAAGGACCCTGGTAAAATTCCTTTAGCACAAAATTTGTCTAATTTGATTAGACTAGCCATTTTGTACAAGTATGGTGGTGTTTATCTAGACACTGATTTCATAATCTTGAAGGATATTTCAAGATTGAGGAACTCAATTGGTGCACAAAGTGTGGATAGAAATGGGAATTGGACAAGATTGAATAATGCACTATTGATTTTTGATAAAAGTCATCCACTTGTTTACAAATTCATGGAGGAATTTGCTTTGAATTTTGATGGAAATAGATGGGGATATAATGGACCATATTTGGTTTCAAGAGTTGTAGAAAAGGTAAAAGATTACAACTTAAGTGTGTTGCCACCAAGAGCTTTTTATCCAATGAATTGGAATAGAATTAAAGGATTTTTTAATGCTAAAAATGATTCAAGATGGATAGAGGCTAAAGTGCTTGAGCTAAATGAGAAGACTTATGGTATTCACTTGTGGAATAGACAAAGTAAAAGTATGAAAATTGAACAAGGAAGCATCATACATAGATTGATATCTACTCATTGTGTGGTATGTAGTGACATTTAATTAAGTTGTTAATCACTTATGAATTTTGATTTCCTAGATAAGTTAATATAGAGGGAATGAATGTACCTAATTTAAGTACTTTTTAATACTTTTAAAACAAGTTCTTGATTTTGGTTGAACAAGGTCAAACTACAACAAGTCTAGATGTTTTTCTCATTCATTTTCTTTGTTTTCTTCATTCTTGTCATCATTTCGTTTTCTTTCGTAAAGATTAAAGGCAGATGTCATGATTAAACATGTTAAATTGAATTTAATATATTTTACAAAAAACATGATATATATATATATATATAATGAATAAAAAATTTAATAAGCATTCAATAACTTTTACAATTTGAGTATATAATTTCAAAAGTACAATGAATTTATTGGTAATTAATTATAACATAAAGGATGGATGAAAAATCAAATTTGTGTCTACTAAAAATTGTTTATCATCTATATTTCTATCTATACAAAAATAAAATTGTCAACATTTAACACGACCACAAAAAAGAAACCTCAATCTTCTTAATCTAAATCCACCCCATCTCCATAAATTAAATCTAAACCTAGGCAACTTTCTAAATGACTTTTTTCTTTTCAATTTATGCTTACCAAATCTTTGCTTTTTCTTGATGCCAACAATTTCTTGTTTTGTCATGAAACTCCCTTTTGCATCTTTTTGTTGTTGATGATTTTGTATCGAACTCCAAGGATCAGGATCATGATCAGGATCAGAATCACTGCCCCACAAAAGATGTGGTTTAATAATAGGTGATCCACTATAATCTTGAAAATGTGATGATAAACTAGTATGTTCCATATCAAATAATCTCCTTAATGATGTGCTCCCTTCTTTCATCAAATTTAATAAATTACTTCTCTTGGAGAATGAATTAGATGAATTACTTGAACTTGGAGTAGAGGAAGTAGAAATTGATGATAAAGATGTAGTACTTGTTGAAGAAGTTGAAGAAGAAAATATTAGAGATTTTTGGTACTCAATGATTCTTTTAATATTATATCTTTGAGCTTCTTTATCCATTTCCCATAAAGAATCTACATCTTCTTCTTCATTAATTTCAATAATTTCAGATGACATGATGTCTTTGTATTATAAGATAGGAATTTTGGTAGCTAAAACATATAAATTTTACTTGAATATATCTATAATTGAAGTGTAGTCTTTTTTTTTTTAATTTAGGAAAAGTAGAATAATAAGGGAAAAAGGGAGGAACCAAAAAAAAGTTTGGAATTTTTCAAAGTTATAAAATGATTCAAAAGCCGGCAGTTGGGGCAAATTTGTAGATCAAGTTGTTTCTTTTATTTTTTTGAGGAATTTTAAAATCAATTTGGGAAGTAGTTAATGACAAGATTCATTGACTTAATCAATGTTTAGCTTATTAATTAGTTGATTATATTTGTTTGTCCTTTATAATGTTTTTTAATATACATGGGTGTACATGTCCTCATCCTCATACTTGTTTAAATCATCATGATCAAGACGTGCATAAGAAATCATTATAATAGTTAAGGAGTTAGATGGTTATTGTTTCATATTTATCTTGTGTTATATCATTTGGTATTGTATTATTTTAAAGAATATAGTATTTGAATAGATTGTATCGTTCTTCGTTATTATATAATGTCATATATTTATAATTTAAATGATAAACCTATATAAAAAAAAGTAGCATACGGGGTAGAATTACTATAAAAAAAATAAGGTAAAGAATAGAATAGAATTATCAAATAATAATAAAGATAGAATAAAAAAAAAGCTAAACATGATTACACCAAATCTATTGTTACATAAAATAGGTCTTTCCATCTTTACCTAATAATTGATTCTTCTGATATTTTATTCACTCAAAATAATTCATATTGTGTGATAGCTCAAATGTTAATACTTGAGCTTCAAAACGGGTAAAACTTATCTGCACATGGTGTTTACACCAAGTCAATACATGCATGCCATGTGTTCAAATTTATAGTTCATTTTACTTCTTTAAATATCGTAATAATATTTTTTGCATTTACTTGATGTAAACACCCGGTACGAATAAGTTTTTCCTTTCACATCTTTTTATAAATAGCTCAAACAATTTTCTCCACTTAAACAAGGTTAAAATTACAAGTTATGTACCAATTAGGCCAAGTCTGAGTATATAATAGAGAATTGCGTTGAAATCGATAAACTAGACAGCTTAAGAATAGGGGTGTCAAATGGGCGGGTTGGGTTGAAATTAGAAATATTAAAATGGGTGAATAGAAATCGGGTTGGGTCTTAACCCCCCAAACTTACTTTGGCTCAAATGGGCTAAAAAATGGATTGCATCTTGACCCGTCCAATTTGACCCGATTAATCTCAATAATTTAATATATTGATTTTTAACTTTTATAATCACAATTTAAATTTCTGCTCAAGAATTTTTGTTAAAAAAGTAAAAATGAATTAGTAAATCCTAAAAGATGTCAAAATAGATAATAATACATCCATACCTTCACATGTCTTAATAAAAAAAATTAAAAAGGGTTAAAATTGAAGATTGAATTAGGCTCAATTGAGAATTCTTTTCAAATAAATTAAGCTTGAATAGGTTGAGCTTGAACCCAATGAAAATTATCTTGAGCGCAACCCTTAAAATCTGGGCGGGTTACCTGTGTTTGGGCTCATTTTTATCACCCCTACCAAAGAGTGTTGGGCTTTTTCATAAAGGCCTTCAATGAAGGGAGCCAGCCCAGATGGCCCCATATAGAAGCCCAATATAGTTACTTCTGCCAGCCCAAATCTAATATTTTATCTTTTTGGGCCTTACTAAACCCTTAAGAACCTCTTCAATTCTTAAACTTTCAGTATAGCCCATGACCTTTACTCAATGGGCCTATTTGATGGAAGTCAAGTTTGACACCAATTGGTCACTGTACTTTGGTGAAATGATTTTTTTTCGTCTCAATTTAGGTGATACATATTTTAGTAATACGTGTTTTAATGACTTAAAATCTTAACGTTGTCACTTTTGGCAAGAATTATTATGCTACAAAATGAAAAAAATTAACGGGGTATCCAATTTTCATTTTACTATTTAAGTTCTAACATGTTTTTTATTAAAATTTATTTTTAACTTGTAGTAGCGATAAAGATATAGGTAAATTGAGGATTTTTGGATTTTATGTATTTACAATAATCTCAAATTAATGTACAATTAACCTCCTCCTCTACTAGTTAAAAGCAAATTCAGAACTTTTAAATTTTATGTTCTTATAATAATTTCAAATTAATGTAAAATTATCTGGACCAATGGAATGGATTCTGAGCTAAATATTAGTATAAATTTTACTAAGAAAAAAAAAATACTAATTTGGTGAACCCCTAAACGATTGCACTACACCTGCCCTTTCTGTTTAGCGTGTCTAAAGTTATTGTCAAGCAAACTTTCAACAAAAATATCTAAGATTTGAAATTGTTCCGAAGCTTAGAGTCGTTAGATCCAATTTTAAATAATAAAGTCTTTTTAATATATCAAAAATTCGAATTTCAGATATATGTTGTACGTATGATATTGAAATAATTAAACTTATAAAAAATTATAAAACTTAGACTACACGTCTATAAAACTTAATAGATTTTTATTATATTCTTTTACTCAAATTAAACAATACGTTTGACTTACTCCATAAAAGAAATAAATTTAATAAAAGAAAGTCCACTAGCTAGGAACACAATTTAAGTTTTACATCTTAGATTTGTTCACACAATTAATAGTATAATGTTATAAATTAAATATTTGATTTTAACCGAGGAAGATTATCTTGTACTTAAAGCCGTTAATAAACAAATCTTAAGTCATGATTAGCATGATAATATTCACAAACACAAACTACTTTTGCTAAGTTTTGAATGAATCAAAAGTCCACACTTGTGGAGACAAGATTTAAATCTTACCAATGTGTTTCCACATGCTCATGCGTATTCTTCAATTTAACATTTTTTTTTCACATTATATTTATTGATTTGATCTCTAATCCCATGACCCAAGATTTACTTGTTTTATTTTGTTTCACAAGAATTCACATTATGAAAATTACCAAGTCAAATGCTCTGAGCGTCTTTGAGTCGGGAATCTATCTTATGACAATTTATCTGTTTTTATAAGGTAAGAGTAAAATAATATATACATCAGCATTTCAGATATTTCTTGTGAAATTATAAGATCGTTACTGTAATGCACCAAGCCACCAAAGACAAGAATTATCTTTCGACAAGGAAGATTATGTATATTTTAGAAATTAAAAGAGTGGTTGATCGAAAGAAAAGGAAAGCCGTGAAATTTAAGAAACTAACATCCATAATATTATGATTAGACTTTTATAGAAGAGAAGTTTAATTGTTCGTCATTAAAATACTTTTCGAAAAGTAAAAAAATATTTTTAATCCAATTATGATAGTGAATTGAATATATTCATCGTTAGCTATGAGATACTTTGATGTTCTAAAATTAATGCACACATTAAATCTGAAGTATTGTGACCAAATTCATCAAGTATAATAAGTAAGTGTAGATAAGCAAAAAATATAATTACCTTTCTAACAAAAAAATTGTCAACTCTATATATAGAATTATTTTTTTTAATAGAGAGAGATGTGAGCTGAACATATAGTGAATGTGACCACACTATTGCAACTGCAAGTACATTTACATATAGTGACAGGTCAATAATTTTAATAAGGGAATTAAAGAGAATGTAAGGTTATCAAAATGTTTTCGGATGCAAAAAAGGTTTCTTACAATAGAAAAAAAAAATTCAAATAGAAATACAAAAACGAATCGCTCAAGCGATATTTCTAATTCAATATCTCCTCGTTGGCCACTCAACGTCCCCAACCCCCACCTCCCGGCTCCTGCCATCTCCGAACCCTACTTCCACTCTATACTATTTACGTAATATTTCGTTATATTACATATAAAAGTTTTAAAAATAATATTTATTTGTATGCTTACCAAACAATAAAAAATAAATAAATAATTCACTTATTTAATCAGAAATATAATTATTTCTTACCAAATACACCCTTTAAGTTCAAAGAATAATATTTATTTGTATGGTTACTAAACAATAAAAAATATATAAGTAATTCACTTATTTAATCAGAATTATAATTTTTTTTACCAAATACATCCTTAATAACAAAACGACACATATATGCCATCT